AAAATTTTTACATTTTATACATACGATCAATGAATTATTATCAGATTATGTTAACCACACGATTCTAGCAGCACTTTCCAAGTACTATAGAATACAAGCTTTCGATACAAACAAAAATTATGCTTCAAAGTATTCGACGTAGTGTTGAACTTTTGCATCTTTGTTGTTATAGAACGACAGAGGACAGGCTGATCGGGATTTCAAAGCACTGTCTGTGTTCATTATAAGAAAACATGATAAGAATATATTAGCGTACCTGATTCTTAATCTTTAATTCCTTATGAATTACATATAACATTCACGGTATATGCCTCAAAACTCCATTTCATATATTTGTTTACATGAATTCTCGCCACGTTTAATTTTCACTCGGCAAATATTTGATCAATAGTTATGACGTCATGGGTTTGGTATTTATCCCTCGTGCTAAATAATTAGCTATTTATACCACCCAAAAACGACTAGATTTAGTTTATATTATGTTTTGAATGATTCCATCCATTTCTTGGACCTGAAATTAAACTTTAAATATAGATATTAAGAAATCATTATTTCTAAAGTTCACGTCATACAGCTTACTATGACTTCATATTGTAAAGGCAAGTAGGATATCTCTGGAAGTAGCCTTAACACACCCGCGTAAGTAGCAATATGCAATTACCACTTGGATATGGAGTTTATGTCTCCTAGTTGATTCGATACGAAAGGGCATGTTCTACGCACGAGCAATTTCTAAAAACGATGCAAGCTATTGACAAATAAGTTGATAATACAAGATTTCCTATATTAAAAGTCTCGTTGAAAATCAACATTTCGCAAATTCTTTGGTCGATACAATGACTTGTTAGCAAATACAATCTATCGTTAATTCGAATGCTGGCTGAAGGTTTTCATACAAATTGTTAGGTTATTATTTTCACACTTAATTGTCTACGGATTTCCCATTTACCCGAACCTGACAGGGAGCACCTTACGGGAGTGACCGATCGAAAGAGGATTCTTACTCCTACATGACACCTTATCCATCCTCTTATGTTCCTAGATGGCCGTGTTTGCTCTGCTCCCAATTTGTATTGTTCCAATGGACGTTTTAGCTGATTTCTGTTCGTTATCTTTATATTTCACCCATTTTTATTTTAGCACATAATAAAAATCTCACTAGAGATAGTCACAGTGGCTATAAGTTAAGAATGTTATCTTAATCTTTCTTTTTCATCCGTTTCATATTTGGATATTTTACTGATTATAGATGGTTATGGCCAACTAACAACTAAACTATATGATGATGACTTCGAGATGGCTTCCATATTGGCTTTTCCATCGCCAACTTCTTACCTGTATTTATGTAGTTGTATTCAACTATCGCTTGCATATGGTGTTTAAGTGTCCTAACTTACTAGTATTTTGTAGACTAGGGCATGCTATGAGTACGATCAACTTTTAAACAGAGGTAGGATACTGACAAATCAGATGATGTTACAGGTTTTTCAACAGTATTAATCAAAGTCAGCATTTCAAAATGTCCTGGGTCATTTTAATGACCTTTTTAGCAAATGCATTTATTTTCCCTTTTTTTTTTTTATTTTGTAAGGTTGTACATATTGTATTTTTTGTAATAGTCTTAATAACTTTAACAAATTTACAATAATCCATGAAGACCATAACTTTTATAAATGCGGAATATAATGCAATGAAGCCCAGAAAATTTATATAATTTTTTGGACGAATTTGATAAATGTTAAGACAAATAAGGTAAAAATTTCTTCGTTTGGATTAACAATATATTTGTGTGTTCAAAAAAGTTCTTCCTTCGGACAAATTAAATATACTCAAGAGAGAGAGAGAGAGAGAGAGAGAGAGAGAGAGAGAGAGAGAGAGATTTGTTTTTGATCAGACTTGTTCGGACGAACTGGATATTTGCTTTGACAACTCAGCGAATTACATGTTTCTTTAATCAGGTTTCAAATTTATTCTTTATGCAAGAATTTTCGTTTCTCTGCTGAAGGAGAGCATCCTGAAAATCAAATCTGTACATGTATAGAGCACATAGATTAATTGCACTTTGAGGATTAGATATGGATATCTGCATGATCAAGTTTATTATTGACACCATTCCTTTGCGATTCTGGGATTTCATTGAAGTTTTACTTGCAGATTAGGTTAACATTGCTTGCATCTCCACTTTTGTTTGCAATGGATTGTTAAGTAATGTTTGTTCTTTCAGTTTTTATGAAAATGTACCAAAAGTATCTTATACATCACATAATTTTTCAGATGCAAATTGCCAGATATTCATGCTATGTCGGAAAATTAAATACAGGTATATGTACACTGTTAAAATCATTGAATTGAAAATATTTGCACTCAAACGCAACTTAATTAATCTGTAGATAGACGTTATAAACACCCCCCCTCTCTCTCTCTCTTAAATAAATGAGGGAAAAATTTAAAACAAAAATCTTCTTCAAAACAATGATATATTTGTCAAATCAAAATGGAAGAACTTCCACGTACATGTAGTATAGATTGAAGTCGATTAATGTTGTGATTTTATCACAAAATACAGATAATTTATTCGAAAGATTTAATGAGACCAACATATCATCCCTGTTTCCTCGTTTTTAGAAAACCTCGGGTGAGCATTTCGCACCAAGCGCCTTTGATTGATGATTTTTAATCTTTTTAATCTGATAGAAAAATAAATCATTTATAAAATCCACCGGCACAAGAATCATTATTCTACGGATGTCATTTTTCTTCACAAGACGAATAATGACCCTCATAGAATAATGACCAGGGTCATTTTTCAACGTCGAAAAATGATTCCCGGTCATTATTCGATGTCGAAAAATGACCTTTTTGCCGGTAGAAAAAGTGGCGTAACCCTTAAAATCTGCATACCCTACGTTAAGAGAAATGGCCCCCGTAGAATAATGACCCCATCCAGATTTTATGAGAATTATCATTTTCTTTTTGGTTAAAAAAATCAAGTAATATAAATGATCACGTGAGGTAAATTAAGGATACAGCGATGATATGTTGATCTCACTAAATCTTTCGAATAAAATTATCTATATTTTATGATAAATTATCCATTAAATGTCTTCAATATACACTATGTGGAAATGCTTCCAAACTGAATTTGACAAAGATGTCATTGCTTTAAAAATGTGTTAATGAAAAAAATCCTTTTATATTCCAGAGAGAGAGAGAGTTGTTTATAATATCTACCGGTTACTGTAGATCACATAATTTTCTCGACACCATATTTTCGCGAGATAGTTATTTAGAAGTTATAAGCGAGAGAAAATTTTCACGAATTCATGTTTTTGTTCTACATACTTAAAATCTATTCTAATAAAAGTATACGCGAGAATAAAATTTAGGCAAGCAGACTACTCGTGTAATTACGCAAAAATCAAGTTCTTGCAAATGACAAGCGATTTACAATTATCAAAATATGACTGAGTACATTTTTTTAGGTCGATGATTTTGAAAGCGACAGAATGATATTATAGCAGATGATCTAACAATTTAAATAAGAAGGACGTGAAGTTTTAGAATTTTGGTACATTTTCACTAAAAACAGAAAGAAAAAGCATTCATAAACTACCCAATGTATCGGGGAAACAAAGGCTGAGTTGCAAGGGATTTTAAACTAAACTGCAAGTAAAACTCCCATGAAACCCCAGAAACTGAAAAGGAATGGAGTCAAAGAAAACTTGATCAAATATCCATATCTCGTCGCCAGCGTGTACTTGACCAATGTGCTTTGTACATGTACTAACCTTTGATTTCCTGGATGCTCTCTTTTATCAAGGGAAGGATAAGTCTTGTCCACAGAAGAAACATTAAATCTGTTCGATCACTATCGTAAATCAGAGTTTTTTTAATAGTTATCACTACAGCCAAAATTATCACTATCATTAACAATAGTTTTCATTGTGTCAAAGTTATCACTATAGTTAACTATAGTAAACTATAGTTAAATTTAGTTTACTATAGTATTTTTGTAAGGGGTCCTGGACGACATAATAACAGTTTTAACCGATAGCCATTGTGACGATATGCTGTGCGATTTTTATTGTATACTGAGAACACAATATAGGTCTAAAGACAGAAACACATGTAATGCTGTTATTTTACATTTTAACAGCGTGTTTGTCCAGTGTTCGTCTGAATTCTATTCAGATCATTTTCCGCAGAAATGCACCCATAGTTGGTGCAACAATGATGAATTTTATTGTTTTCAGGGGTGCATAGTTGAAAGTACTTCATATTTTACTGTTTAAAGGCGTAGTAAGTTACTTGAGAGTTATTAATATTCTATTGGTTACAGGCCTGTAAAGTTGGGAGTATTTGTATGTGTAACGGGGACTGGATACGTCGATTCTGTAGCTCAGTGGTTAGAGCACCCGCACGGTTAGCGGGAGGTCGCGGGTTCGAGTCCCAGTCTGGCCGACATTTTTCCCCGCCTGTTACATATCTTATTGTTTTCAGGTATCATAAGTTGAGAGTAATTCATATTTTATTCTTTGCAAGCGTATTAAGTTTAGAGTATTTCTTACTTTTTACAGGCGTAGTATGTTGAAAGTACTCCTTATTGTATTGTATATAGGCGTAGAAAGTTGAGAGTATTTCATATTTTATTGTTTACAGGCGTAGTATGTAGAGGGTATTTCATATTGTATTACATTAGTCCAAGCATTCATAGCATAGTAAGATTTTAAATCAACAAAAGATATTAAAGACAGAATATCTCAAAACACAAAATGTCTCAAAGTTTAAAATTGTTCATCCTTTAATTGCCTTCACTTATTTTATCTTGGAGAAATTATTGCATTTTTAGTACAAAGAATGCAAATTGTTATCAAATAATAGGACAAGAAAAACTTCCATTCATTGAATGTTAAAGTCCATTTGTATTTTCCCTCGGACCTAATGAAACAATACAATAAGTTAATTTATACCATGGTAATGTTTATTTCTATCTAACGTAGACGTATTATCCTGTCAAACTAATCCGGAAAGGTCTTCTAAAAGACAGGCGTATATTGGTGGACAAATGGCCGGACTTCCAGATTGTGTTGGTGACTGCAGACAAACAGGTCAGACTCCATCGATCTAAAATTCTCTGCTTGGTATAAGGTCGGCAATATATATATATAAATATAAATAAGCAATATCTTTATTAAGCTTAGGTAATTATTATCTTTAAAGCCATATATATAAAAAGAATTGTTTTGCAAAAAAATAAAAACAGCAATAAACAAAACAAAAATGCTTTGAGTGCCAAACGGAGATTGAAATGAAAAAGAAAAACTGACGTCGACACGTGAAATAATTCAGATGGATGCAAATATTTGCACAACTTCTGTGTGGTTAATTTGAGTAGTATTTGTGTTAAGTGTGTATATAATCATTTCTGTTACTTGATATTTTATGGTTTATTTAAATTAAGTCAGAGAAAAATTGGGCGGTATCTATATTTAGTTTTTCAATTGTTTTATACTAATTTTAACTACAGTACATCCAGTTATCTGCATGATCAATGAAATGTAAGTATGATGCACAGTATTTATGTTCAAATCTTAAAAAAATCCACACAGTACAATCTGAGAACAGAACAAACACGGACCTCTGAAAACATCAGAGGTGGAATAAGCTGCCATCAGAGGGATCGAGGTCTGTCAACAGGAAATTCTTCCTCCTCTTAGACACATGATTTCACCTTTGGTTTTTCCAGAGGACTGTGTTTTGCCCTGTTCTCGGTTTGTTTTATTGATATGATTAACTCCTCACAAAAATAAGAATTTATTTACAATAGACGATATCACCAAATTCGAAAAGTGATCACCTATTCGAATAGGTGATATCACTTAATGGCAATTAATAAAAAAAACGGCGCCTCATAATAATGAAATATTTCGACACCCCATCACCCAACACCACACCATACCCCACCCCCAAAAGTTAAAGGAAACGTTTATTACTAAAGACATTGATTACTTTAGTCAGACAAGCTTTTTGAAAAGCTGTTACTTGTAAATATATATATGATCGAGTTACTAATACTATCTCGCTTATGACATTTTATTTTCATCTAAAGTTGTCACCCTGCATGGTCGCTCGCGCTATTTCAAATATGAAAATGAAGACCTTGACACTTTATCAGAATGGATTAAAAGTATCAAATGGATGTTGAAATCTCGCATTAAGCGATTGAGGGGCATTATGATAACCATCAATCCTTCTGTCTTCCACAATGCAAAAGTGAAACAAGAATAAGATAGATTACACGATCAGTATGCACTGGTCCCAGACAGGTAACAACATTGTCTTTGTTTGTAAATTTCATTATTTGAATTGTATTTTAGAGGAACTAGGATTTAATTCTGCAAGTGGTAATCCAACTTATACCCATATCTCCCTTTCTAAGAAGGAAATTCTTCAAAACCATATGTCAGTTTTAAATATTTTTAATATCCCCAACAATCAAAATGATTTTGAATTATCACACCTATACTGTATTCAAAACTCCATAAAAATCCTCATAAAGATATATAGCGGGTAACAGTATATGCTCTACCAAGCCTCTTTCTTTATGTCTCATTAATATATTTATAACAGTGAAGGAGAAACTTCAGGAGAACCGTACAGCAGTGTATTACAGAAGAGGTACATGTATAAATCAGATGTGGATACTTCAAAACTCAAAGGAACATTTAGAAAATTTGAAATCACAAAATTTTACCAAAAGCAATAATATCACGACTTTTCAAGACTTTATACAACTATTCCCCACGATAAATAAAAGTCCAGGCTTTTTGACATCATAGACAGCTGCTTTTTCAATAAAAATGGAACTCGTAATATACTTACCTTATCATTGGTCATTTGCAATATTATTTTGTTAAAAACATTCTGATTGTACACATAAGTAATCTGAAATGGATATTAAAAAGATGCTTGAGTTTCTGATTGACAATATCTATGTAGTGTTTGGAGATCGGGTCTTCCAAAAATCTGTTGGAATTCCCATGGGTACCAATTGCACCCCGTTATTAGCACATCTATTTTTATATTCATATGAAGCAGAATTTATTCAAAAACTTCTATATGAGAAGAAGAAAACACTTACTGTTACCTTCAACTTGACATTTCGATATATCGACAACGTATTATAAATTAACAATAGTTACTTCCATTCATATATCGATTCGATATATCCCAGTGAACTTGAAATGAAAGACACCACAGAGTCTAACACATCTGTTTCATATTTGGATATTTTACTAGAAAATGACGTAAATGGAAACCTAACAACAGAGCTTTATGATAAACGTGATGACTTCAACTTTTCTATCGTCAACTTCCTTTACTAATGTACGCAAGTGAGTTAAGGCTAGGTGTAGGCGTTTCTATGCAAATGAGGTTATAAAAATGTATAAGAGTTATATACACTATGCAAGACAAGTTTAAATTCGTTTTGTTTGACAAGACATATTGTAGCCAGTGCACAAATTATGACGTCATTGCTTTACTGCTCGAGGTTATTTTTAAACAAATAATGTATACATTAACAAATAATGCATAATTCTCGAAAGAATATTCCAAAGATTAATAAAAGTGCTGCAAAAATCCTATTCACTTTTTACTTTGATAAAACTTTGAGAAAACTTATACTGGGCTTTGATTTTTTACCCTGTTTCAACTCAATACTTTACAAAAAGTATCTAAACGAATGAACCATGTCGATATTTTTGCAGCAATGTCATCAATCCTTTGAATATTCTACTTTTAATTAGACCCGGTTTCTGTAAAATTAAATAGGGCATGCCCTTGCGCCGAAGCTTTATTGTTGATGTTCTTTAAAACTTTGTGTAGAAGAGAAGAATAATATGACGTCATAATGTGTACTGACTATCAATTGTCGTGGGTACCAAGTTTGTATTAAAAAATAAGTTTTAACCTTTTCTGTATAATAGGTATAATCTTTATGCGTAATTAGTTTATTTGCATGGAAACGTATAAACTTAACCTTAGCTCACTTGCGTAGCAATGTACTCTTATCACTTGCATATGGGTTTTATGTATCTCAGTTGATTCGATACGCAAGAGCATGCTTAACATACGAACATTATCTAAAACGAGACAAGCTATTGACAAACAAGTTCATGAAACAAGGATATCAACAGTCTTGTTTAAAGTGATCATTTCGCAAGTTCCATGGTCGATACAATGACCTTGTCACCAAATAAAATCTATCATTAAGTCAAATGCTTAATGACGTTTTTCATACTAATTGTTAGGTCATTACACACTGAATTGTCTACTGATTTTTCCGTTTGCTCGATCATAACAAGGAGCACATGGCGGGTGTGACCTTTCGACAGGGGATGCCCACTCCTCCATGGCACCTGATCCCAGTTCCAATGTTTTTAGAGGTCCGTGTTTTCTCTAATCCCGATTTGTATTGTTTTAATAGACTGTGAGATGGAATAATATTCGTTATCTCCATATTTCATTGTCATCTGAGGGGGAGGCAGCACAGTTGTAACCCTGCACGTGAGAGAGACATCTCGAATTGTCTCCCTGCACATGACACCAATCAGATTGACTGTACTATTCTGAAGGATAATAATATTTATTAAAAATCCACTTCTCTTTTTTTGAGCTATGTTTTATTGGCGTGTTATTTGTAAGAAAGGTTGAAGAGAATAAGATCAGAATTTTACTCATTTACCTCTTCCTTTGCTTGCAGAAGAAGATGTCCGCTTCACACAGGGTGTACTGTTTCTGTAAGGACGATAACTCCTCCACTTTGTTTGATTCCATGCTACGCCAGGTGTCGATCGAACTCAAGAGTTCTCTTATCTTATTCGGTAACTATTCAGTGGAAGCTTATGATTATTTTTCTCGGTTATATTTGAATTCTTTTCGCAGAGGTTGTACTTTATTTCTGTAGGCTGTAGTCCAGGTATCACCGATAAATTAATTAGGGTGAATGGATCGTTTGTCCGACGTCTTGTAGAAGATACCTGCATGCACATGTTACCAAGGGAGAACTTCAGAAAAGCGTAGGTCGATATGGTATCCTTTCTTGTGAACACAAGTCTCTAAGGATTTCAAATTTTGACACTATATTCACAGAAAATATTCAATTTCAAAGAAATTCCTACACGTAACCCAGTTAGGTTTTCCATGTGTTATAGAATACATCATGAAAAACCATATCAGGCTAAGCAAAGTAAATTGATAGGTGAATAAATTCAAATTCTCAGTATATATAAATGAAGTTTGCTAACTTAAAAAGTTCGTCGAACTGCATGAAAGGTAACATCTGAACATTTTTGTTGAACTATTTTAATATTTCATCAACAGATATAATTTCATGCAGAGATCTGGTAACATAGAATAAATGAAATCCTCGCGATTTAAATATCAAATGTGCATAAAATGGACATGCACATATAGACAGCGGGATTTGAATTAGAAGAAGCTAGGCGGCCTAATGAAGAAGTCGCTTCAAAAAGGCGTACTCGATGCAATGAGAAAGAAATCTTATAATAAAAATCCAAGGCCAGATGCAGTTAGGAGATAGGGATAAATTCAAAAGGAGAACGTATTTTAATCTATTAATTTTATAGATACAGGTTATCAAGGAAAGATGTATATTGTAGATACGGTCAAAGAATGAGAGATCAAAGCCAACAATGAAACAAATGTAAAGAGCACTGTAGAAAAAGTGATTGACTCATTTCAATACCTTATATAGTAAAGAATTAGATAGGAAGAGGAAGAAAACAAGATTGATGTTACGTCTTGACCATTGTTTGGGTCAATCTCAATTACAGTTATAGCAAAGGCCAGGTCCAGGTAAAGCCCTGGAAGGGGTGGGGTGCGATGACCGTTGAATTCTCCAGTAGTATAGGAGGGACATTTAGACCCCATTGAACCAGGTCCAAGATGGCCGCCATTCCGTTTTCGGACGAGATGGCGGCCCTTTTCTCCCAAGATGGCTGTTTTTTCGTCCAAGAATGGAAACCCTTCTCTTTCCCGCCAAGTTAAGATGGCTGTTTTTCCGCATGCGATTATTCCGACTACATTATTTCTGTTCCATTGTTTTCTAACAAAGTATTTGTTTGTTTGTTTTTTAGCTCACCTGAGCTGAAAGCTCAAGTGAGCTTTTCTGATCACCCGTTGTCCGTCCGTCCGTCCGTCCGTCTGTAAACTTTTCACATTTTCAACTTCTTCTCAAGAACCACTTGGCCAATTTTAACCAAACTTGGTACAAAGTATCCTTGGGTGAAGGGGAGTTCAAATTGTTAAAATAAAGGGCCAAGTCCCTTTACAAGGGGAGATAATCAAGAAAAGACAAAAATAGGGTGGGGTCATTAAAAAATCTTCTTTTCAAGAAACACTGGGACAGAAAAGCTGAAACTTATGTGGATGCATCCTGGGGAAGTAGAGATTCTAAATTGTTCAAATCATGACCCTCGAGGGTAGGGCGGGGCCACAATAGGGAATCCAAGTTTTACATTAAAATGTATAGGAAAAATCTTTAAAAATCTTCTCAAGAACCACTGGGCCAGAAAAGCTGAAACTTATGTGGAAGCATCCCGGGGTGGTGTAGATTCTAAATTGTTCATGACCCCCGGGGCTAGGGCGGGGCCACAATAGGTAATACAAGTTTTACATTGAAAGATATAGGAAAAATCTTTAAAAATCTTCTTCTCAAGAACCACTGAGCCAGAAAATCTGAAACTTATGTGGAAGCATCCTCACGTAGTCTACACTCTAAATTGTTCAAATCATGACCCCGGGGGTAGGGCTGGGCCACAATAGGGAATCCCAAGTTTTACATTGAAATATATAAGAAAAATCTTTAAAAATCTTCTCAAGAACCACTGGGCCAGAAAAGCTGAAACTTATGTGGAAGCATCCCGGGGTAGTGTAGATTCTAAATTGTTCAAATCATGGCCCCGGGGGTAGGGCGGGGCCACAATAGGTATTACAAGGGGGGAAGTCTGGTAATGAACAGCATGGCCAAAGTTACTCAGGTGAGCGATGTGGCCCATGGGCCTCTTCTTGTTTTGTTTGTTTGTTTGTTTAAATTCCCCTCGAGATATTTTTACTCATATTAAGACGCCACCACTTGCCAATGAAGGGCTGCAAATATAGAGCTGTACTCGGCACTTACGACCTTTGAACAGTGAGGGATCTTTTTCGTGCCAGCACCTACTGAGACACGGGACCTCGGTTTATATGGTCTCATCCGAAGGACCAGTCTCCACGTCCCGGAGTGAGATTCGAACCCGCGACGTAAGGATAAGCTCCTTACTCCACGACTCTAGAGCAAACGCTCTAACCACTGCGACACGCAGGCGACTTTTAACAAAGAAGCTATCACCCTTTACCAGGACTTTGAACATGCTGCCCGAAGGCAGGTGGTTTTACTTGATTTCTTTTTTACTACTTGCTTCATAAAAAAATATAAACATATTCTCATAATAACAAAGAATTTAAATCGTAGCAAACTGCATCGGGATATCAGAGGCGATGTTTCGACCCTTTTGAAAAAAAGAAATATGGACATAGATAAAAGCCTTTTTAAGGGTTACGAGTGAGAATAAATCAGATTTTGATCAGTTGCTGGAGACCAAAGAGGAACATTATCAGGACAATTCCCAGAATGATTCCCAGATAGTGGAGTTACACATAAATAGTTTCTTTTTTTAAAAATAAACATACTGCAAATTTTCTGTTGTTTGTTATAGCTAATGACCATTCAAAAAGCATTCTCAGGGAAAAGGAGAAAAAAGTGAGTAAGAGAGTGGGAAAATATAACATATTTAGGTTTTAAAAACAAATAACGAGAAAGATAGGTCATTCGTCTTTAAGGAGGGGTCCATTGCAAACTCGTGAAGACTCGTAAACCGTTCGGGGAACTGCTCTAAAGACAGCAATCTTTGTCGCGGTCGTAAAGACTCGTAATCCACTCGGTGAGGATCGATGATTCGGTCGGTACGAGAAATAATCTTTGTGTATAGGCGTGTGCTCACTTCTGGAGAGCCTTTGACGGGGTCGTAAGAAGCACCCACTCTTCTCGTTAAATAAAAGTAAACCCAACTGCCTTCGGACAGCACTCCTGGTAAAGGGTGATGGCGTATTTTTTAGTTGCCATCTTGGTCGGAAACGGAAGGGTTGCCATCTTGGACTAGGTTCGGACCCGGTTCAAGGGGGTTGAGAAGTCCCTCCTAAACTACTTTCTCCGAATTACCAACAGCTTAATTTGAATGTAAAGAAAAGGAGATTTTCTCGTCATAAGTCTTATTTTTTCCGTTTTCTACATGAAATATTATAATTTCTACTAGCTGAGGTCTGGAAGGATTGCATTCTTAGCATTTCTGACAGCTAAATTTTAGTGTCCAGGAAAAGAGATTACAGAAATTAGTTTCAAATTCAACGTTAAAATGCCGAATGCTTGTTTAAAAACATTCTTGATTCTACGCACAGTTAGTAAATTAATTTAAAAAGGATGCTAGAGTTCTTCATTGACATTATCTTTATAGTCTTTGGAGACCAGGTCTTCCAACAGTCTGCTGGAATTTCAATGGTCATTTATTGTTCCCCCTATTAGCTGAATTAGCTGACCAGTCTTTATGTTTAATAAAGAATTTATTTAAAAACTTCTACATGAGAAGAAAAAAAAATTGTAGTAGCCTTCAATTCGACATTAAATATATAGACGACGTCTAATCAATTACAATTATTTTCAATCGTATGTCGACTTGATATATACTAGTTAAGTTGAAATAAAAGACGTATCTTACATCTGTTTCATATATGGATGTGTTACTGACTATAGACGTCAACTTATCAATTGAACTCTGTAAATCTCTGTTAATTTTAGCGCACAATGCCCTTGCATGTGACTCGTATGGGGGATTCTATCCGGCTTAACTTCACTTGATTATTTGCTTTGTTTTCAAGATTTTGCAAATCAACACCAGAGCTGAAATATATAAAAACATTACATCCCACATATCTTACATTATTAATTCTATGATGTCTGTACATAATGAAAATAGTTATCAATGTGACCTTTTTTCTAGTCCGCTTCTTGATGGCTTTAAAGTTACATATTTGGGAGAGGAAAACGTGGACTTAGTCCTGAGGAATTTGCCATATACAGAAATAAAAGAATACATTGTACAAATGATTAACATATTACCAAGCGTGTGTATTTTCAATAAAGATGGCAAACTAGTAGCTTGGATACTACAGCAAGAGTATGGTTGTGTTAGACCGATCTATGTGATGCCAGAATATAGAAGATTAAACCTTGCAACCATCGTTGGAAACCTTTTAATCGAAAAAGTTTTTGAGAATGGGGATGAGGTCTATTCATGGATAGATAAAACAAATCATGCATCACTGACTCTTCACATTAAAATTGGATTTGTTCGTTTGCCAGATTTTATTGTAACTTGTTCAGAATATATGTACAGAAGACCCATAAAAACCTCATAGAATTTAGATATTAAGGACATTGGCAAGGTTCCTGGTTATTGTATAGAATTTTTCAAGAACTTTTGAGTAGGTTAAAATGTACTAAACAGGTTATATTCTGGATCGTTTTACCTACCAATCCAACATTCTTTTTTAGATTTTGTCAAGTTAGTGTTTTTACAATTCTAAATGCATTTTCTATGTAAAATGTTGATAAAAGGGACCTACATAATTTTTCACCATAATATTTCTTCAAAACCCATTTATTTCATAGATTTTTTGTATTATATACATTATTGTATCTTCATTTCCTATGACCGATAGATATTTTGGCTGAAAATGTATATATAGAAACAAGACATGGATATACCGGTACCGATCATCATTTTTGAGTTGCGTCCCTTAACAGCTAAAATTGGTCAAGAGACTGGTTGATTGTTTTTATCATTTAATTGACTGAATTGATTGAAACACATTGTCATAAATATATTGGCATGGATTTATTTTTAACTTTTATTCGTAGTTACTTAATGCTGATTCCTTCACACATCCTAAGAACTGTTCTCAAT